ATGACAGGGAAGTACACCAAGTGGCCCTAGACTGGATGCTGACCTGGAGCGAAGAATGCAATCACGGTCATTTTGGGGGGGAACTGACAAAACTGGCGCACGGACTGTAGATGAAAGTATTAAATGTCCTGAACCTGCTAATAGCACTGTGGTTACATAAGAGAATATCCTTGTTCTTAGGAAATGCACAGTGAAGTATTAGGGGTGTAGGCTGCCTACCCTCAAATGAGTCAGAAAAAATAAATGTGTGTGTGTGGAAAGAGAGAAAGAGGGGGAGGACAGGAGGAAAAGAATAAGACAAACACGAAACAATGATGTTAAAAATGTGTAGAACTAGGCAAAAGGTCTAAGAGAATATACTCTACTACTGCAACCTCAAAATAAAGAGTTTAACAAAAACAACTGCAGCCAAAACAACTTTGAGGGGGCATCCGTGTTCCGCTTGCTCTAATGAGCAGAAAAGTAATTCAACTTGTAATTAGTAGTGCAAAATAGAGAGGTGCCCCTTTGGAAACATTCTGTTGCTGTCATCTTCATAGTCATCACCAGGAACACTTCCGGAGCCCTTACTCAGTGGTAACTGCTCTGAAAGGTGTTTTACTTGCGTGACCCCTTTTAGTCTTCACAACTTCCCTAGGAGAAAGGCTCTGGAGTTACCCCCACTTTACAGATGAGGAAACCAAGGTTTACAGAAGTTTAGTAACTTGCCCAAAGTAATACAGGGAGTAAATGGCAGAACCAGAAACCCAACGAGGTTGATTACAAAGCTGGTAGGATTTATTGCTTTGTTAAACTTAATTTTTAATTATTTATTAGTTTTCCTCAAAGAAAGAGAGATGAAGCACAACCTAGATAAAATTTTGGCAAATTAGTAAAATATGCTTGAATAAGGGCTTCTTCTAATTTTAATTACAGCACTAAATTAACCAGAGAGACATATATATATATATATATATATATATATATGCCTAAGCAACTGAACAACTGAATAACTGGTCGACCGGTTGCTATGATGTGCACTGACCACCAGGGGGCAGACGCTCAATGTAGGAGCTGCCCCCTGGTGGTCAGTGTGCTCCCATAGTGAGAGTGCTGCTCAGCTGACTGACCCATCCTGGTAGCCCACCAGCTTGGTGGCAGTCACTCCCTCCCTCAGTAGTCCTACAGGTCCAATCTCCAGAGAACGGGCCAGGCACCAACGGACCAGAGCCTCTAGCCTCCTGGAAGTCGGCTTCGGTCACCACCATCACTTCCCCTCCCTAGATGCTCTGCAAGGAAGAAGTGATATAAAAGCGGCAACCAGGTGGCTCCCGACAACTGACGAAAATGTCAGCGAGATGGATCCAGATCCTGGGCTGGCAAGGGTGTCCCACTGCCCACCAGGAGGGCCGATCGCATCCTGCCCCCCCCGCCACCCCCCTCAGGACCCCATCTGTGCACGAATTTGTGCACCGGGCCTCTAGTAAGTGATATTTCTGGTCTCCATAATTTACTTTACACTCTTTCTTCCAAGGGCTGACTTGGTCATTCACAAATTCTTTGAAAAAATATACCCGAGTATGTCTTTTGAAATGATCTTATTAAACGTCTCCTAAACCATGTGGTCCTTGCTATGGCATGCATGTTAGTGTCCTCCTAAAATGAGATGTTGATGCCCACATCCCCAATGTGATGGTATTTGGAGGTGGAGCCTTTGGAGTGTTACTAGATCCTGAGGATGGAACCCTCACAAGTGGGATTAGTGCCCTTCGAAGAGAGACGTAAGAGAAAGGATCAGTCTCTCTCCACCACCTGAGGACACAGCGAGAAAACGACCATCTGCAGGCCAGGAACTGGGCTTTCCAGATGTGCTGGTGCCTTGATCTTGGACTTCCCAGACTCCAGAACCGAGAAAAAACATTCCTGTTGTTTCTAGTCCATCTGGTCTATGGTATGTGGTTATCGGAGCCCAAACTAAGACAGTCTTGTTTCAAGTTTTTCTTCCTGATTAAAAATGTTTTCTCTCCTTTCAGGTAAAGTAATGGAGCTTATGTTCATGTTTCCTTTTAGTCACGACACTTCAATTTTACTTAAAAAAATGTATCACTCGCAACACACTGCCTGCTCAGTACCACCGTCCTCCTCACAGATGGGGAGTAAGCTACACATGCCATCTCTTTCTTCCCAGGGGAAGCTGAAGGACCGTTAATTTTTTAAACAAACGTTCAAAACAGTACGACATTTGCAAATACTTGCAGGTGTTCGGGGCAGTCTTATCATCTGACAGAGCGAATGCCCACTCCAGAAAACGCAGCCCCGCCCATGGCTGCATAACTTAACCGCAGAAGGAGCTTTTAAAACCCCGATGCCCAGCCCACACTCGAGACCAATGAAACCAGTCCCGCTGGAGATGGGACCTGGGCCTCGGGCATTCTAAGCTCCCCTGACGATTCCAGTGGGCGGCCTAGTTGGAGATGCTGGATCGAGCGCCCGGAGCCGTAAAGAATCACATCTTTTGTGTACACAGCCAACGGATTCTCAGAGCTTTTGGAATTGGTCTCATTAGGAAGGTCTAGTCCAACTGGTGAGTGATGACAGTAGGAAACAGTAGGGAACAGTAACCGGACGAGACTGAGACCTGTGCCACATGAAGGGGACACACAGTGAGCACATCAGGAGGCCATGGGGACAGTAGGTGTCATCGGCACCCTCCGCAACAAGTCCCGGCGCGTGGCAGCCCCGAGCCTCTGAACACATTTGCGGAAACGATCGAACAAAACTTGCCTTTGGGAGAAAAACGAAAACTCTGTCTACTAAGAACAAAAAACCACACAACGGGTGAGGTAAAACTGTATGTTGATGGAGCATAATTTGATGTCTTCCTTTTTAGTTTTCCGCAAAAGACAGGACCCACACCTTGGAGCCTGCTAGACTAGAACCCGCGTGGGTCTCACCAGCCGGGGACCCCCTCACGGAGGGACGGCAGCCTGAGCGTCAGGCTCACGCTCGGCCCCGCTGGCCTGGTCCCAACCTCACAGTAGCAGTGCCCCCCGCACCTGAGCCTGCCTCCTTTTCTCAAAAGGCGACTCCTGTGGCTAAGAAATAGAATCCAGAGGACAAGATTCCAGGCCACAGAAATGCTCTCTCATAGTTTTCTCTTTGGAATAAGAAGGACTTTTGAAGCTGAATGATTCCTAGGCCATCCTGGCAATTAAAGATTTCTAGGAATACAAAAGGGGACCACAGCATTCATTCATTCAATAAGTACTTATTGAACACGTACCACTCGCCGCTCTTCTAGGCCTTGGGAAGAAACATGGCAGGGCCTTTTCCAAAGAGAACACTCCCTGGTACTGAGCGACTTCACTCAACGTCACAGCAGCCTAAGGCTACACGATTGACAGCTAACTGACTAAAGGGTCCTGCTACAGACCTTAAAAAGCACACGAATAGCCAAAAAACAAAACAAAACAAAAAAAAGAAAGAAAAGGAAAGTCAAGATCCTTTATATAATTAACTGTATGTACCAGAGGACATGTCAGAGCTTTTGGAATTGGTCTCATTAGGAAGGTATAGTCCAACTGGTGAGTGATGACAGTAGGAAACAGTAGGGAACAGTAACCGGACGAGACTGAGACCTGTGCCACATGAAGGGGACACACAGTGAGCACATCAGGAGGCCATGGGGACAGTAGGTGTCATCGGCCCCCTCCGCAACAAGTCCCGGCGGGTGGCAGCCCCGAGCCTCTGAACACATTTGCGGAAACGATCGAACGAAACTTGCCTTTGGGAGAAAAACGAAAACTCTGTCTACTAAGAACAAAAAACCACACAACGGGTGAGGTAAAACTGTATGTTGATGGAGCATAATTTGATGTCTTCCTTTTTAGTTTTCCGCAAAAGACAGGACCCACACCTTGGAGCCTGCTAGACTAGAACCCGCGTGGGTCTCACCAGCCGGGGACCCCCTCACGGAGGGACGGCAGCCTGAGCGTCAGGCTCACGCTCGGCCCCGCTGGCCTGGTCCCAACCTCACAGTAGCAGTGCCCCCCGCACCTGAGCCTGCCTCCTTTTTCTCAAAAGGCGACTCCTGTGGCTAAGAAATATAATCCAGAGGACAAGATTCCAGGCCACAGAAATGCTTTCTCACAGTTTTCTCTTTGGAATAAGAAGGACTTTTGAGAAGCGGAATAATTCCTAGGCCATCCTGGCAATTAAAGATTTCTAGGAATACAAAAGGGGACCACAGCATTCATTCATTCAATAAGTACTTATTGAACACGTACCACTCGCCGCTCTTCTAGGCCTTGGGAAGAAACATGGCAGGGCCTTTTCCAAAGAGAACACTCCCTGGTACTGAGCGACTTCACTCAACGTCACAGCAGCCTAAGGCTACACGATTGACAGCTAACTGACTAAAGGGTCCTGCTACAGACCTTAAAAAACACACACGAATAGCCAAAAAAACAAAACAAAACAAAAAGAAAAGGAAAGTCAAGATCCTTTATATAATTAGCTGTATGTACCAGAGGACATATAGGGTAACAAAAGTCTTTTTTAAAAACTGCATTTATGTACGTATATTCAGGCCACTACATGTATCCTAAGCTCCAAACAGTACCAGCCCATCCATGTGTTCAATGGCCAATCCAATAGCCACAAGAAAGTGCTTGCTTCTTCTTCTCCCATGTCACATACCCTCTAGTTCAGCGGTTCTCAACCTGTGGGTCAAGACCCCTTTGGCGGTTGAACGACCCTTTCACAGGGGTCGCCTAAGACCATCCTGCATATCAGATATTTACATGACGATTCATCACAGTAGCAACATGACAGTGATGAAGTAGCAACGAAAATAATTCTATGGTTGGGTCACAACCTGAGGATCTGTATTTAAAGGGCCAGAAGGTTGAGAACCACTGCTCTAGTGTATAGACGATTCCTGTTTTCTCGCCGTGGAGAAAAGTTAGCATGAGCATATTGCAGGCTCCTTCCTGCCCTCCTCCTGCCCGGCGGAGTCTTACCGGCGTAGTGCACCGGGATCTCTATCTTCGGCCCAATGACGTAGTGCCCCTCCTCCAGGCTGTGGGCGGTGATGGTGGTCCACTGGCGGCACGAGTGGATCAGCAGGTAGTCGTTCTCCCGCAGCCCTTCGATGCATTCTCCTGGAAAACAGAATCCCACACAAGAAACCTGGAATTAGCAGGGGCTTACTCCGTCCTCTGCAATAAAATGTCATTTGTTAGAACCTCACTGGTGCACAGGTTGACAGTTCATCCCCCGAGAAGAAAACGTTCACTTAAGAATTAGCAATAAAAAAAGCATTCCAAGTGGCTCAGTGGTTGAGCGTGACCTATGAACCAGGAGGCCACGGTTCAATTCCCGGTCAGGGCACCTGCCTGGGTTGCGCGGGCTGGATCCCCAGAGTGGGGCGTGCAGGAGGCAGCCGATCAATGATTCTCTCTCATCATTGATGTTTTGATCGATCCCTCTCCCTTCCTCTCCGAAATATATATATAGCATTCCATGCCATGTTGATAATGTCACTCAAGATTCCATAAAAATGTTTCTAAATTATTTACAAAGAGATCTTCACATGCCTCATTTTATCTAAATTATATTCCAATGATTATAAAACAAAGATTAAGTGCTTATGTTAGGTAATACCTGGATGCTGTGCATCTATTATGTCATGTGATACAGTAATGATGAGGGAGGTATGATCCCTTCCTGGCGGGTGGAGAAGAACTCAGTGCTCAGGTGGTAAGTGACAGGTCTAAGTGGACACAGGTGGGGTAAGTGGACAAGAGCAGACTCGGGCCTGGGCAGACAGATTCCGAAGCTTCTGCTCTTACACACGACAGGACACAGCTGCCAACAGGAAGGAATGGCCTATCTGTCTCTCTGCCCAAACACCACTTGAAAATACAAGCCTATTTCTCCTTTCCAATTGGGTATATTTTGCCAGTCCTCTCTGGCCTCCTACTGAACATCCCAATCAATTAAAAACAGTGAAGTCTGTAGCATACACATAACATGATTTTTCATTTTAATAATTCTGATGTACCCTTTTAGCCTTTGAACCAATGACAAACTATTTCAAAAGAGAAATCCACTCCCTGAAATGGAAAAGTTAGTTTTCTAGACGCAGGAATGATCCCATGAACCCCGCTTAGTAATTTTCAATGCTCGAAAAAAATAGCTGAAAAGGCGAATTCCTTTATACAGGAAACCACCAGCCTGCCTTATTTTTGATGTTATTATATTTCAATAATGAAAAGTTATTGGTGGTTTAAGTGTATGTTTCAAAATGGCACTTATCAATCCCTCAAAAGTTCTTAAAAGTTGCAGCAATTTTTCAATTAAAAAAAAAAAGTAGAGAAAGGTGTAACCATCAACGTGGTTATCACAACCATAAGCCATCAAATTTGTTCCTAAACTAATAAGGTCATAATTTTAAATACAGTCTTACTGCAAGAATATGTTATCTTTGTTGCAGAAAAGGCGAAGAGTTAAAGCTTTTATGGGGGTCGGGGGGCGCTGGAAGTGGAGGTACCTGAGCAGGAGGGGGAGGGTCCCATTGTGGGGGGCATATTTCCAAACCAGACTCCCCTGCCCCTCACTCTTTGGGAGACCAGGTTCATAAAGACACCGTGTGGGGAGGCCAGTGGTACTCGGCAGCCCTCTGCATCTCTTGAGCATATGAGGGCAGGAACGAAAGCTCTAGAAGCACTGCCCATAATATAGCCCCCTCAGTACTCCCCCACCCAAGGGCAGGGGGGTGGGGCACATACAGGGCAGTTGGGAGTTACAGACACGGGCTTCAGAGCCCAGCATTCCTGGTCTAGCCAGGCTCTGCGCCAGTGCTGGGTGGTCCTGGGCAGGCACCTCTCTTCTCCCAGGAGAAGGGACAACAGGCCCTGCTTCCCAGAGGCTTAAAGACGCCTGGGAACAGCCAGGGACCCTGGGGAGCACCACTCTGTTATGGGATGTTAGGTGTGACCAGGACACATCAGCTATTGATTTTATTTATTGTGAGATTTTCCTCCCTGAAGGCTGTCCTGTTTATAAACACTGTAATTGAGATCAGGTCATCCTTTTACAGGCGAGGAAAGGATCTTCCGAGCAGTCAAGAAACTTGCCTAGAGCGGCACAGCTAAGTGGCAGAAACTGACTTCAGGGTCTCTCTCCCTCTCTCCACATCTCTCTCCTGCTCTTCCAACACCACACTGTGGGTCGCCTTGAAAACCACCAACAATCCATGAAACAGGGAACACTGGCCTTTGGTTCCCTCAGCCAGCATGACAAGCACCGTTCCAACGCTGGGGACACACGTCGGAAAATAAGACCAAGGTCCCTGCCCTAGGACGCCCACTATCCCACAGGAAGGAGACGGCACCGTCAACGAGAATGCTGGGATTATGGGTCAGTTAGGGAGTGAGAGGGGCTGCGGGTAAAGTGTGAGAGGATCAGGAGAAAGAAGAGCAATTCACAAGTTTGTCATCTTATCCAGCAAACATCTGTCTACTTAGTTCGCCTTTAAAAAACAGCTTTGAGATATCATAACAGACAAAGAAGGATAGATACTTAATGTGTACACTTTGATGAGCAACAAACACTCACTGAGTCTCTTTTATGCACAAAGCAATGGAGGAGTGGGCCAAATATAACGACTTGGGGGCCTGCATTCAAGAAATCAACATTCTCACTGGTGAGATGCATCCCTATGTAATTTCATGAAAGGCAGGGCATGATGAGTGCTATGCAGAGGAAGAGGAAATCAGGAGTGGAGATGGGACTTTAGCAGAGACGATCAAGGACATGTTAACAGGAATGTAAAGCATTGGGGCTGGTCCTTTGATGGATGAGAGGGTCTTCGAGGAGAGGAAGGCAATAGGAGCCACTGGAGCGTGTTGGATACGAGAACCACGCCAGGAAAATTCATCTGGTGGTGCTGGGAAAGATGAATGGGAGAAAGGAGAAACCACAGTGCCATTCAGGGGAAAAAGAAAAATGTCATTTTCTGCAACTAAACTGTTACATCATAAAAACTGTTTTAATTTTATTCCACAGTGGGCTCTGAAGAGGCAGCGAAGGCACAATTGCAGTCAAGTTAATCGAAATGAAAATGTAATGTTAAATCCTACTGCTAGCTGATGCTATAAACTCTACCAAGAGGATTCAGAATGATCTCCGAAGCCATAAAGTAGTAAGAAACCAACCCTATTTTGGAGCTTGTGCCTTTTAAATTTTTTTTTAAACAACTGAACCATGTGCCTGCTTTAGGCAAAAAAATGTTTCACAAAAATTGTCTAGAAATAAAACTTAATATAATCACTTAAAATATCCTAGGGGAGGCCACTAATAGAGAAATTACATATGAATTCATAAAGTCAACAATTTTTGTGATATAATTAGCCTGTTGCTTAACTGCTATGTATAACATACTAAACTTATATATTTAGCTTAATGGTGTAGCATTAGTAGGTCTAAAAGAATTATGTGTTAAACTAGAGGCCCAGTGCACGAATTCATGCACAGGGCGGGGGGGTCCCTCAGGGTGGCCTGCAGGGATGGGGCCAAAACCCACAGTCTGACGCCCCTGCAGCTCCTACCTGCTGCTCCCGCTTATCCGGGCCCCACTGCGCCTGCCCCGGGCTCGTGCCCATCTATCCTGATCGGGAGAGGCTGGCACCGCTGCAGCAGCACTCGCCAGGCATGAGCCCTGCGTCTGGTGTCCTCCCGAGAGGAGTGGCCTGCGGGATCGGGCCGAAACCAGCTCTCTGACATCCCCCAGAGGGGTCCTGGATTGTGAGGGCGCAGGCCAGGCCAAGGGACCCCACCGGTGGACAATCGGGCCCGGGAGGAACTGTGTGGAAGGGCTCCTGGGAGTGTCCGACCCTGTCTCGCCCAGTCCTGATCCACCGATCGGGCCGGCTGGCTGGTCGGGGAGGGACGCGGGAGGTTGGCCAGCCAGGGAGAGACTGCAGCAGGGCTCCAGGGCGTGTCTGGCCCATCTCGCTCAGTCCC